TATATATAGTATATAGTGCCGCTTGATTGGAATGTGGGCGCCCAGTTGCCCAGTTAGCTAATGCAACTAGCTACAACAACAACAACAACAACAACAACAACGAAAAACACCTGCAATCAAAATGCAAACACGCGCGCGTTCAAAATCAAAACGAAACAAAAGCAACTGTAACAACAACAACAACAATCAAATAACAAATGCAACACAAATTGAGCGAACACGCGCAAAAGACAAACAACAAACAGCAACAGCAAACGAACGAACGAGCAACAACAGCAAGTTGCGTGTGGGCGTGCAGCAGCAGCAGCTGAGCTGAGCTGAGCCGAGCCGCAAACGCGTTGCCTTTCAACACCCACGCGCGGCGAACAAGTTTGTGCTCTAAGTCTTTTGTTTGGCGCGCGAGAACCCAAGCAACAACAACAGCGACAGACACTTTGTTGTTGCTTTTTAACGCTTTTTGCAGATGAGAGTGGGCTTATAGTGCGTGTCTGTGAGTGTGTGTGAATTATTGAAAAGAAAAAATTCATTGAGCAAAATCATTTCTTAGCTCAATTTAATTGCCTTGTTTTCTGCTCGTTGTTGTTGTACTGCTTGTTATTGGCATTTAACTATTACAATATGCAATTTGCATTGCACTCTAATTTATTGTACATTAATAAAAAATAATAAAAAATATTTTTTTATATTCGCTAATTATTCGCAATATTTGTCTTGGCCAACGACATTTGCATAACACGCGTCGCCCAGTTGATAAAGTCTAGAGAATTTTTTTGTTGCGTATAACAAATCGCCTAACTAATTTATGCCACAGAATTTAAATTGAACACAATAACAACAACAGCGACAAAATGACATAATGAAATGAGAGGGAAAGAGAAAAATGGCAACAAAATGTATATATGATAAATGAAAAATTGATATTGCAATTTATTGCAATGCTTGAAACTTTAGACCGGAAAATGTAATCATTAGCCAATAAACAACAACAACAACAACAACTGAAAAACTGCAACAACAACAACCAATAGTTAATAACGAATATAAAAATGGTGTCAATAAACCGCCTGCTGTTCGACTAATTATTAAAACTGCTTAGAACGTGCGAATGTTTGTTTTAAAAATCGATATTTTTGCACATATCGATAATTGTTGTTGTGAGACTTAAATCATAAATCTTAAATCAAAGTTAAATTCTGGAAAAACTGCCGAAACCAATGAATTAAAACAATGGGACTAGCTACAATCAATCGATAAATATTATCGATAATGCGTTATCGATAAGATATGCATAATTATGGAAATTTGTTAGTGTCTTGAAAATATTAGAATTTTACACCTAGTTTATTAAAACTCATGAAATCATAAAGGTGTGATCGATAACATAATAAGCTTCCGATGTGAGTTTTATGTATGGACTTAAAAGACTGTATTAAAAAATGTTTTACATTAAAAACATACAACAACTTGATTGCAAAGCAACAGGTGTTATCGATAACGATATATGTATATTTAATTACTGTGTTTCCTATCTTTCTAACTGTTGAAAACTTGGCTCTTAGTCTTACTTATTATTTATTTTGAAACGTAAACGGAAGTGTATTAGTTAGCTATACATGAAGTATCAGAGGAAATTGATATTAGTATCGAAAGTATCAAAAATTACATTTAAAGTTTAGTGTAAGACTTTTTAGATTCCTTATCTTTTATATAATAAAACGACTAAAACTAATCAATCTAGTAAAAATTAGGATTTGGTTCTTACAGGCTAATCGATAAAACGAATTTCATTTCCTTTAAAATCTGACTACAGTTTGTTGATAATAGTCAATATATGCTTAAAGTTAGTTTAATTATTAAACTATGCAAATAACAAATCTTTCGATACATTATCGAGAGTTAATAATATGTTATTTGCATATAATTGATAGACTATATATACCGAAATTAGCTGGATATTTAAAAGTCATTTAAGAAAAGAGGAAGAATAATCAAAGGAAAAAGAGGATGAATAATTAATAGATGAAAAACAAAAACAATTATCGATTAATCGATTTCATTTTGATCAACTTAATTTGCATAATTTTATCCAATTAACTCATTTCGTAAGTTTCGATTTTCTTTGACTAGCTAACCTAGGCTAGGCCTGCATGAAAAAAAAACCCTCAAAAAACGATCATTCACAAAAGTTCCCAAAAAAAAAAGCGAAAAAGAAGCAAAAACAAAACTATTAAGAAACTATATATAATAATATATTAGTGAGAATAATAATAATGATACTGACAATAATGCTGTATGTATTATTGTTTTGCCTTGGTTTATTTCCGAGAATTAACGATATGCATAAAACGGCCAGATGAATAGAATCTTGACAAAAACGAATAAGAAGCAGCCGAAGCAGAAGAAGAAAAAAGTTTCACTTTTTATCAAAACCAAAAGGCATTAAAATAGTTAATTGGCTTTATTTAAATTTAGTTTTTTTTAAGATTTTTTTTTTAACTTCATTTTGTTTTTTTATTTCTTCCTCATACATAAATATGTGCCAGAAGACGCGCTTAGCATAATTCTAGCCAGCCAATAGCTCAGTTTAGTATGGACATATAATATATAGTTTATATATATATATAGGTGTGTATGTGTGTGAGTCTGTGTGTGTGTGGCATATGCAAAGCGCGCTGTTTTATAATAGCACAAGCTAACGAACGATTCCTAAAGTTTCGATAATTTTGTGACACGCACAAGAAAAAAACAACGAAAAACCAAAAACCCAAAAATATTTGTCGATTCGTTTGGCTCAGCTTCACCAAGGCCTTTTCTGACGTTGCACGCTGTGTATGTGCGTGTGTGTGTATTTGTTTCTTATTTTTCGAAAATGCAAATTGATTTTTATGAACAAATTTAATTAGCTCGCAGCTAGAATCTCAGTAGAGCTAGCCCCCACTTGGAGCAGCCGAAGAAAAAACAATCAGACAGACAACAAAGGCAAGCCACATTAGAATACATTTCAAATGTAAGCTTTACAAAACGAAAAACACGCATAACCAATCAATATAAGCACACGCACACACAAAGGCAGACACGCAAACACAGTTTAGCTGTTAGCTTAGAGAATTTAGCGGGAAAACGAAGCGAAGTGCTCAACAAAAAATGGAAACATAAATAAATGAGGAAAATATTAAGAAAAACATTTTTTTGAACAATTTACAAATTTATATTAAATATAAAAAAATGAAAACAGAAGCCCAAACAAACTTTAATATAGCTAGATTAGGAGCTTTTAAAGCTAGATTACAATAGGCAGTTTTCGCTTTAGGAATATTTAATTTTGTTAATTAAAGCGAGGAACAAAATTTTTTTTAAATATATAAAGTTGTATAAATATAATAAGAATATAAAATTTATATACCAAGAAATAGCTAAAAACAAAATTTATTTAAATCTAGCTAGAGCTAGCTAGGAGCTATTCTGGCTAAGCTATATTTTGCAGCTTTGGTTAAAAAAAAAAATAGTTTGTTAATTAAAATCAGGAAAAAAATTACAAAATGTAAACAAAAACAACTTAAAAATGCATATAAATAGAAAAAATAGCTGCACATTAAAAAAACTTATATTTAGTTAGTTTTAGAGCTTTTATAGATGGGCCTCATCGGCTAGCTTTTGGTTTGATGACGTCTCTTGATTTCACTTTCTTCTGGCTTAGCGTGAAACACTCATCAGCTAAAATGTTAATTTAGATGCTAAGACAGGGCGTGGCAGCTGCCAGCCATTGAATGTATATTATATATATCTTGGCATCTGTATCTGTAGCTGTAGCTGTAGCTGTTTCTTAGTGTATTACCTCATTTAGCGCGAGCGCGCGTCAACGCAGAGTCGCGCAGAGTCGAAAAACGTTTGACATTTTGGTGCGATCAATAAAATAAAAATAAATAAAAAGCAATGCTAATTAACATATATGCATATACACACACACAAATATATATCGATTTATATATATATATTTTTTTTTATTATATACCAAAAGTTATATACTTTGACTCTGTCCGTCTGCTGCTTTTTTTTTCTCGCATTTTAATTGGTTTCTTTCCACTCGACAACCGACGACTGTGTCGATTTTTTATAGCATTTAATTTTGTTGCTGTTGTTGTTGTTTTAATATATATTTTTTATTTTGTTTTCATAAACTGTACTTTTTTGTATTTATGAATCAGCTTCTGCCATAGGATAAAGCGCCTAAAAAGAACTTGGCTTTCAGCGAAGTTTGCGCTATTTTATTTTTTCCCCTTCTTCTTCTTCTTCTTCTTACCTTTTTGTCACCATTGATTTGATTTTGACCTTCCGCGTTCATAATCAGTCATCAATCAACAATAAACATTGACCACATGCTGATGTGGTTGTTGTTGTTGTTGTCGTAGTCGTTGTTGCCGTTTGTCTCTTTTGTGCATGTGTGCGATCAATCAATGTAATTCCTGCAAACAAATCATTTAGCTGAACCAATTCGATACCCCCAAGTATTTATGAATATTATTTGTGCCGGCTCGTAGAATTCATATATATTGCACGCTTCTCACCTAGGGCCTGTGATCCATGTTCAGTTCGGTTCCATAAGCCCCATTGAGGGTTCAGAGTCTGAGAGCTTTCATTGATCTCATATGGAGCATGAGATCAGTTTTAAAAGCCTTTTAATCATTTCCATGTGCGTGCAATTAAAGTTCATTAGAGCTTGATCTAACGAAGGTCTTAGAAGTCTATAATAATATATATGTGTGTGTGTGTATACATATATGTGTATATGAATTGCCTGAAACCGTATTCTTCTGAAGGTCGGCGATTTAGCCAAGATCAGTTTATGTATATTTTTGAGATAAGCTGAATATATTATTGAGCTCGAATTGATCCTGGCATAATTATTTTCTATACAGAAAATTATTATATTTACTCCACTTTGTATTCCCCTTAGTTTTCTATCAATTATATATGCTATAATTCCCATTTATTTCAATGATTTAACTATGAACTCTTTGAGAGCTGTAATAAATTTGAAATGTGAGATCAAATGTGAAGCTTTTTTTAAATCCCTTGGTCTATGGCCTACAAGAGAGATAAAGTCTGCCTAAGATTTGCCAATCAAGTCTTTGCCTTATCAATAAAAGTATATAATAAGTTTGTCAAGATTCTATGAATAATCAATCTAAGCTAAGACATTATCGAGCACTAACTTTTGGAAATGCCCAGACGAAACATGACCGTGATTGTAGTTTATGAAAGAAAGTATCTTTAAGTAGCCAAGTTGCAAACAGTTGAAAGAAAAACGAAACAAACACAAAAGCCAAGAAAAACCAACACAAATCCAAACGAAAATTCACAGATATTGCGCGTGGATGCAGCTAGAAGTGAAGCAAGTGGGGCAACTGCAACTGCAACTGCAACTGCATTCGATATAGCCAATAAAACGGCAACAGCTACATCAGCCACAGCAACAGCAACAACTGCAACAACTGCAACATCAGCAACTGCAACTAGTCCCGCCAGAGCGACAGCAGATCTAGAGATGTATGCTACCACGGGCGGCACACAGATTTATCTACAGGTGAGTGAGCCAAACGGAGCAAGTGTATAAAAGAGTGAAAGAGATTGAGAGATTGAGTGAGAGACTGACCTGAACTCCTGCAGACCTCACATCAGAACAGCAATGGAACCAGCACACAGCAGAGCACATTGCAAGCCCAGAGTCCCAGTCCGGGGCCATATATCACAACGGATAGCTATGGCATGTACACGACGACACGATTGCCACCTGGACCGCCACCTGCCACCACATTCATAACGGAGCCCTACTATCGTGAATACTTTGCGCCCGACGGCCAGGGCGGCTACGTGCCAGCGGGCACGGCGCGCAGCCTCTACGGCGAAGATGTTTCCGTATCGGCGGCCGCCCAGCCGCAGCCGGTGGGCGGTGTCTATGAGGCGCGCTTCAGCAGCAATGCGCCCACCACCACCACAGTGCTAACCAGCAGCAATGCACACCATCACAGTCAACAGCAGCAACAGCAACAGCAGCAGCAGCAACAGCAGCAGCAGCAACAACAGCAGCAGCAACAGGAACAGTCGGGCAAGAACGGTGGGACGCCGCTCTATGCCAAGGCTATAACGGCGGCGGGTCTCACCGTGGACTTGCCCAGTCCCGATTCGGGCATTGGCACGGATGCCATAACGCCGCGGGATCAAAATCACATACAGCAGGTATACACACACACACAAAGAATACAACAGTAGAGTGTTACAAGTAGCGGCCAGTGCCTGTCGTAATTCCACTTGTAGAACCCATATCCAAAATCTCTTATAGTATCAGCTAACCCATAAATTTCTATTAGCAATGAATAACCCATAAAGAGTAATGAGTAATGAGTAATGAGTAGTTCAAAATGCGTGACGTGTCCATTAAATTTGTACTTAATAAAAACTTTTCATATAATACATATATAATATATACAAACTTTTATCACTATCATCCCAACTAATGAAACATATTTGCAACTTCTTTTCGAACAGTCCTTCGACTACACGGAACTGTGTCAACCGGGCACCCTCATCGATGCCAATGGCAGCATACCCGTTTCAGTGAATAGCATACAACAGCGCACCGTGGTCCATGGCAGCCAGAATAGTCCAACCACATCGCTGGTGGATACGAGCACAAATGGATCGACACGTTCGAGGCCCTGGCACGATTTCGGACGCCAAAATGATGCTGATAAAATACAAATACCAAAAATGTAAGTAACCAACACCAAATACCCTGTAAATATAAGATTATAGATATAACTATTATAGATATAACTATATTATTATTATTGATTATTATTCCTATATACATAAATATATATTCTCTATTTATAAAACTAGCCACATATGCTGTACACTGAATTCACTTATGTGAAGTTCGATTATTCCTACATATATATACAGGTGTGCTCATATAAATAGTTGTCAGACTGAGTAGACTGGATGGACAGAAAAATAACCTAAAAATACCCTTGAATCTAGCTACGTGCTTAGGCTCAACTACTTTGACTCTATCTAAACTACGATTGTTCCTATCTAAATACATATAAGCATATGTAGAAGTACAGCTGCGTTCATAAAAATAGCAGCAGGGCTGAGACATTTGACAACCAAATTTCGTAAAAAAAAATACCAACATTTAGTTAAGATTGTTATTAACTTGATTTGTTTTTCTTTATTAACTTGAATTATGTCTTATCCATAATTTAGGATTTCGTCCTTCAGGACTTCAGGGTTTGTTAAAGAAAAAGTAGTCAAATTTAATAAGTCATGAAAATATTTGGGATTATTAAAAAAAGAGACAAAAATCATTCCCTCATAGCCAAAAATAAATGTAAAACTATAGCTATTAATAAAGCCTAACTTCATATATGTAATATATAGTAGATAATCCCTTACAACCCCACCTGCATGGCATCGAATTGCGCGAATCAACGCTTTTCAGTGCCACACCTCCTGAAATACTCTACTTTGCTCCCAATAGACTCACTCCATTTAATATATATTTTTTCTTTTGTCTATGTGTTTTCTTAGCTTCACAAATGTGGGCTTTCGCTACCATCTGGAGAGCCCGATCAGCTCGTCGCAGCGTCGCGAGGACGATCGCATCACCTACATCAACAAGGGTCAGTTCTATGGCATTACGCTGGAGTATGTGCACGATGCGGATAAGCCAATCAAGAATACAACAGTTAAGGTAATACTCTTACTCTATGACTATCTCTCTATACATATATGTATGTATGTATTTATGTATATTTGATATTGATTGTGGAGCTAGCTGATCGTGAGCCTTGCTCTGGCTGTCAACAATCATTTGAGGCTTAAGACTTGAAACCCTTTTCAGGCTATTTGTCAGCTGTGCGCTCTCGAGTAGCTCGGGAATGTCAGTTTGCCTGAGCGCTAATCAAGTTTGGCAGCTATCGCCACCCTTTGCTCAATTGCGCAAACACATGCAGACAGAGCGAGAGAGAGAGAGAGAGAGAGCGCGCAGCAAGGACATCGCATATCCTGCTTAAGGCGCTGCGATCTGTTCAACCTTATATGCATATCCCGATGATAAATGATAAATGATACGCCAAGGCGTCCGTCTGTCCTTATGAGAATTTGAATACGCCGCTCAATGCAAATTGCGAGCCTTTCAGCACACACACACATGCACACACGCATTCCATGTTTATTCAGGACTACATAGGATATTTTTTTCAGCCTTTAGCTGCTCACAATACGCATCAACATCATCAATCAGATAAGCTTAAATGACGTCTTCTGACTCGCTACTGGATGAAATGCAAATTGTAAACTGAACCCGTTGAGTTCTAGACAATCAAAGTTACAGTTGAATGTGAAAAGTGTGTGTTTTGGGTCCCTCGAATACGGAATGTGGAATACGGAATGCTCAATGCTCAATGCTCAATGTGGAAGTGCCAACGGTTCGGCTAAGTAAACAACAATTGAGATTGAGTTTCTACTTCTTGCTGCTGCTAGGGTCTGAAATTGGAACTGTCTCTTCACATTTCGCATTTGCATACGTAAATATAATGAAAAAAGCTGCGACAAATTGAAGCAACCAAATTCAAATTATAAAAAAGTTTCTTAAAACTGTCCAAGGATCGTGATGTGTTAAGAATAACAGTAAGAAAAAAAGCAGGAAACTCTTTAAAAAAAAACGTCTATAATAATCGGGATTTAAATAAAACAGAATTTCTCAAAAAGTTACAGGAAAATCCAAAGACTTTAGATAAAAGCAAGGAAAAGGGTTTACAATTTCTTCAGTTACTGAAAATTTACCAACTGATTTTAACTAGATTTTACATTATTAAGGGATACTTAGGAAAAATTTATACAACCTAAATTTTACTGATCTTTGGGAAAAAAAATTCGAAATTGTAAAAAATAATATCTAAAACAAATTTACCAAAATATTTTCAGGAAATATTTTACAGATTAAAAAAAATATATAAAATATTTTTTTATAATTTATAAATAGTATTAACATTTTTGTTTTTATTTTCAAAAATATTAGAAATATTGAGTAAGAGGAAAATAATCCACATTTGAATAATTGATAAGCCATGTAATGGATTTTCTACTTTTCAAAGTCAAAGATCTTGACTGCATTTATAAAAGTCTGAATAAAAGTAGAACAGAAAATAGGTCTAGGCTCAGAACCCACCTGGCGATAGACTTCGATGCCCCTATATCATATTTTCTCATTGTTTCTTTCTCGACTACCCAACTAATTGTGCTTTATGAAGTGCCGCAGCTCGTCTCGTCTCGTATTACCATAAAAGTGCAATAATTTTTGCGCTAGACTTTGGAAAAAAGTGTCAAAATGAATTTACGAGTTTATTTGTTTAACCCTCTAGCCCTTTTCGGGGCTGGCAGAGGCCATCGATATAAGTAGTAGCAGCAGAAGAAATCCGACTATAGAGTGAGGCTGAAGAAAACTGTAACCCAAAGTTGAAAAATTAAAGCAACGCATTTGCATAGTCGTGTCCATTTCCCTATCAATTTCCCAGCGTCGAACGGTGAAAAACTGACAAAAATAAAAGAAAAAAAAACGAGTATAATTTACGAGCTGATTAGCCCATGAATATTTACGATAAATGCAGAGAGCGAGAGGGAGAGAGTTAGAGATAGAAAAACTTAAAGATTCAAGAAAAAGGCGCACAAAATACACAAAAATATTTATGCACAGTAATCAGCAAAGATCATAGGGGGTAGGGGGTAGGAGGTAGAGGCAGGGGGTAGGTGCAGGATAGCGGCTCATAGCAAAGGGGTTGCAATTTTTGACTCGTTCTCGGGGCCAACATCTATCTGTGCGCTTCCTTCGGCGCTGTCAACGTAATTATTCAAAATGTAAAAAAAATCTGAAAATACATAAATGATGCACACAAAATGCAAATATCTATGGGAACAAAGCGAGAGGAGAGAAAGAGACTCAAGTTACTTAAAGAGACAAATGTGTTAGATATTTTTCTGCTAAATCGAGTTCGTCCTTTCTGTTTTTCTTTTTTTTTATGCTTCTCGCTTCCTTTAATCCTTTTGACTTTGTAGGGTGCGAGCCTACGGAGCTAGACGTAGACAGCCAAAACATATGTCACAACGCGTATATATCAAGCCTGATTGGATAAAAGCAATGAACTGTGCATAGATACCCTGTATATACCCTGTTTATAGTTCCTTTACAAGAAATATGAATTTTGAATATCTTCTTCTTTTCTGACCAGATTATTTATTTTAGTTGAAACATAATAAATATTATGATTA